GTTGTTGTTTTTGTTGTTTTGTTATTTTTATTGCGAATGAAATTTCATCCTTCAATGAGGCATAATTTTACGTTTACTTACTTTTTGTGTGCTTTATTACGCTATGACGAAATTCAATTTAAATTTAGCCTAAACAGAACAATAACAGTTTATTTTGTTTTATTATTTTTGAAATTTTTTAAATTTACCAAAACTGATTAATCTGTCCTTTCAATTAGTTCATTTTGAGGGAATAAGCAGAAATTGATCATTAAATTAAAAATTAAATAAATATGTTTAAAAAAGGAAGGAATTAAACGCTTTTTGAAATATTCAATTAATTTGCTTATTTTATTGTTAATTTTTAATCGCAAAAAATTAACCCGTCAAAATTTTATTGAAATTATTAAATCATTATTTGCTACCATAAATTTTTATTCCAATTATCGGAATTTTGTTTTGGATATAATGTTTCAATTAATTTAATTCTTACTTAACAATAATATCCGAGGAAAAAAAAAGGAAGACCGTGATTCATTTATGTAATTTGTAATTTATAATTTATCAAATTACAATTAATTTAATCATATACAATCGTATATTTCACATTTTGATTGTAATTTATCAAATTACAATTAAACAATTAATTTAATCATATATAATCGTCCATTGATTACAATCACTTACAATTAATTTACCAATTTGTCGAAACAATTTATCAATTTATGATAAAATATAATTTGTTATAATTTATCAAGATTATAACTTCATTTAATATTATGCTTTTTTTCCTTTTTTTTTTTTTTAAAGGCTATAAAACTAAATTATAATAACTTTAATTACTTAACTATTCTATCATATATTCTGCAATATTACAGGATCAAATCATTTCGGTATTGCTGGATGGTATAGTATACGTGCAATGAATGAAGGAGTTCTTGTAATTATAATATTTTTTCATTTTTTTCCTTTTTTTTTAAATCTTTAATTATGCAATCATGTAGTATGAATAAATTAAATACCATAAAATTAATTTTATTTTATTGAATTCTCAACTTTTGTCTTATATCTAGTGGTTTTTCAATAAGAAGAAAAGATAAGCAGAAAAAAAAAGATGAAAAAACTGAAAAGAACGATACAATTTTAAATTATTATAATGACAAGAAAAAACAAAAGTTTAGGAATGAATTCTTTGTCAAAAATTTTTTGCCAAAATCTTATAATTTGATAAATTAATTTAAAAAAATTCACAAATATATTTAAGGGTATGGCATTTACGAATACATCACCGATCATGTATCCAACTAGATCCAGTAAACCAGCACTTGGTACAAATCCTTTAGCATTTGCTGCTAAAGCTAAAAATGATGCTTTCATACTTGATATGGCTACCACTACTGCTGCTATTGGAAAAGTTTGTTATTATTACTACTTTACTATTATCATCATTACTGCTATTTATTAACAGTATTATTATTATTATTATTATTATTATTATTATTATTATTATTATTATTATTATTATTATT